TGCTGTTCCAGGTCCCTTTTGTAAAAGCTGCTTCTGGATCTGCAAATGTGGGACAGTGTTTAACCAACAAGACTGTGAGCTGATGCTGGCAGGGGAGCTGTGGCCCGGCTGTGGCTGCCAAACCTGCCGGGACTTGCCTACCGGGGGGTCACAGGAGTTTGTTCCCTTTCCCCCACATTGGAGCATCGTCTGGCTGGCCAGGTGCATTGTGCGGGAGGTGGACTATGCCTCGGTCAGCTGTGGTAAATCCTGTGTCCCCAGGGAAACTGTACCTCAGCAGTGTTAGCTCTGGAGCTTAGCGCTTACTCTCTGCGGGTGCAGCGAGTGAGGACAGGCTTCTAGCTCGCACTGGAGGCAGAGACAGTTCAGTCTCTGTGGCTCACTCAGGTCTCGATGTTTCTGCTGTTGTTGCCAGCCTTGGGACTAGTACCATACTTAGACTCCTGGAGGGCCCTGGGTGAACTTTTATGATAATAATAATTGCACAGTGGGGAAAAAAATTACCATTTTCACGCACCCTTTCTGTCCCAGGCCCCCGGCAGCCACCTGGTTAGCCCATGCCTGTGTCCAACTCTGTTCGGGACCTGTTGGTGCCAATAGTGACGGTGGAGCCTTGTGTGGTGGCTCCTGGGACCTTTTGAATTCATGATATTGGGCACAGCCTGGATGGGAATCACTGTGGGCCTCTAATCTCTTTGGCTGATGATGCAGGCCTGAAATGCCTTGTCTGGGCTCTTGTCTTTCCCCTGTACCTTCCAGGCCTCTGAATCGGTCTCTTCCCTGGTAATGGGGTTTTGTCAGCTAGGCTAAGCCCCTCTGGGCATCTGTGAGAACTAGGAAGAAAAAAGGGCATTATAAGAAAGGTGGGGATTTCCCCAAAGATCTGGTAGGGGAGGGTTTCTGAGCAGTGTTTGCTGGAGGCTTTGGTATGTTAAGTGAAGTACTTTGATAAAGGCAGCCCTCTGTTTGTCTTGGCAGGACCTTTGCTGGGGAGTGTGTTGTCTCTCAGGGAAGGTCAGGGCATGGCATCCAGTGCAACTCTTGCGTCACTGTGCCGAGCTTTCCTTTGATGCCGTTTGCTGGTGCCGTGGCATTGTGTTAGCCTGGCATAGTTCTCTGGCTGCAGCGATGGTCCCGTCTGACTCAGATTTGTGTGATCTGCGACTGGGTGGGGGGAGAGGATGTGCCAGTACTCCAGGGCAGAACTTCAGGCTAAAGCAGGGGAGCATGATGGGGGTTTTGGAGGGTGACCTGGGTACCTCGATACTGAAGGGTGCCCATGGCTAATGGGGATCAGTATAGCTGGTGGCTGGGGATCAGGGTTCAGTCCTGTAGGGTTTACTAGTATGACCAGGTCCGGTGGAGCCAGAGAAGCTGGTGTACTTGCTTGAGCAAAAGCTCCTGGTCTCTGGACCCACAGAGTGTCTCTTCAAGGTTGGATTGTTTTCAGCTGCCTCTCTGACAAAGTCATCCCGTCTAGACCTGAGTGACAGCAGGAAGAGTTGCTTCTTACGTCTTCTGAGGTGAGGAGAGATTGTGGAGCCCGTGTCATGCACTGCGTAGGCCCCAGAGGCTAGTATTTGCTGGCCAACCTCCTCATCTCATCTGGAGTGTCAGGAGACTGCAGATGGCACCATGGCTGTGCCATCACTTGGCCACGGTGACAGATTCTCGCCTTCTGCTGGGGAGGGGTCAATGTAGTCTCCCTCCTAGACACTGGTTGGCGATGAGAAACATAGCTTTGGAGTTATTTGAAGCAAAACCAGTCAGCTAACCAGAACCCTGACCTTGAACTCTCCTTCCCCTGTTCATCGTTTTGTGGTCTTCAGTTCCTCTCTTCTGTGTGGGACCGGTCGGGTCTGCCTGGTGCAGGTCATCCGCAACAGGAGCCAGAGCCTGTTCCGCAGTGAGCTTTCTGCCGCCACTGGTATGTGACATGTGTGGGATGCCTGACCACGTCTGTTTGGAGGGGCACAGACCCCCGAGTGCACCCGCTGAGAATAACCCTCAGATGTTCTTCTAGCACCTTTGCAGCTCAGAGCGCTGTACAGGGATCAGCTTCACCCCCTGCTGAAAGGCAGTCACCTCTGGGGCAGATGACGGCAGCTGCTTCACAGCTGTGCAGCTGCAATCCCCCCAGCCGCTTAGCACAGGAAGGGAAGGAAGTGGTATGCACTGGAAGCTGCAGGGGAATGTGCAGGGCCGGAGCAATGTGTGTGGATTACAAATGCATTCCTCTTGTTACAGCTAGTGGAGATGTAGCTTTCTCTTTCGGGGGTGGCCTTGAGAGGGGAGGATGGGGGAGAATGAGCAGGTGTGGAGTTGCAAAGCTGTGCCCCCCTCGAGCCTCTGTACAGATCCAAATGACATTGTGTAATGAATCCCCTGGACCACGATCAAGCCAGCCAGGAGAATTCCTGAACCGGCGCCAGCTGAACTGCATTCGGGGAGGGCTGGCCTAGCTAGCAACGCCTGTGAGAAGGCAGGCAGGGCTTAGGGGGGGCGTGAATCCCTCATGACCCCAGGCTATGAAGGGAAGGGGGGTTAGGGAAGGGAGCTAAGCAGGGGGGCTCTGCTGAACGTGGCAGTGATGAGTTTTTGAAGGTGCCGTGTAGCTGGAATGAGCTGTTAAGTCCCATACAGGCTTCCTCTGGGCCATATTCAGCAGCGCCCCCATATCCCCTTGGCTCCCCATTTGTTCCTGCTCTGTGGACCCCAAACCCCAGAGCAGAGGTGGGGGGCGCTGCCTGAGTCAGTGCCAGCACACACATGTGCCTGAGACATGGGGCTCCGGGATACATTTGGGGGATGCTTTGAGGTGACTGCATTGCCTGTTTTTGGGGGAGCGGGCATGTTTCAGGCAAGAGGGACTGGGTGAGGGGCACTGCATGATGGTGCTTCTCAGTGTGGGACTGCATGGAGGCGCCTGGACAGGCCCAGCGGAGAGTACAGTGCAGTTGGATCTGGGAGCAGCTTTTACCTGGGCCTTTCTTACTTCCCAGGCTCAGCCTTCGCTTGCCTTAAAACACTCAGGCCAGCTTTGTGCAGTGACCAGGTTGGGTCAGTCAGCAGGGCTCTGCCAGTGAGGCGCATGCTGACCTGGCACATGCTCTGGATTAATATGCCCCTTCTTTACCTTCAGGCTGGCTGCTGGAAAGGCAGCAAGGCAGCCAGGCTGTGGGGTTTTTAATCACTGCTCTCTTTCCCTCGGCGGAGAGCTCAGTGGGAGGCAGGCAGCCAGCCTGGTAAGAATGCTGATGGGGCTGTCCTGCTCTCTTCTCCAGTCTCTCCACTTCCCTGCTTTCTTTCTACCACGATCGCTCGCTAGTTGTGGCCACTCAGGGAGTCCCAATGCTGCTCCACGCTGAGGTGGGGTGTCTGCCTTGCTTTTGGATTTGGGGGTGATTCAGGACTCGAGGTCTCTGCTTCAGTGACTCCCCTGCCTCTGCAGACTCCATGTCTCCTGTTCTGCAGTACAACCCCCCATTCCCCTCCATGCCTGTTAATTTAGTAACAGGACTCTCCAGGGGTGCCGAGCCTCAGCTGCAGCAGGAGCCATTGGGCTGCTGGACTTTCCCCCATTTCTGTCTGTGAGGACAGGTGGACGGGAGGAGCGGACCTTTCTCTGTGCTTGCTGCAGCTGCTCTGAAAACTGAAGGAAAACCTGATTCCAGCGGGTTCTCAAGTGTCTGTACTCCAGGCCCTCCTAATTTACCCCCCCGCCACAGCCGCTGCTCCTCCAAAGTGCCCCAGAATCCTTGCATCAGCTGCAAAGACACTTCAAGGAGATGGACTGGTTCCTGTTGCATTTCTGGGCCTTTGAGAGTGAGCTGGCTGCGAGGGGCTGAGCAAATCTGCTCCGGCCCAGGCAGGCTCGTGACTCCTCTGGAAAACTACTGGCAACCTCGTGTCTGGCCTCAGGCTGAGAACTGCCAGGGTAATTGAATCCACAGGGTGGGAGGACAGTGCTGAGGAGGACTCGAGAGAGAGGGAGTGAGGGCAGTGGCCGTTCTCTCCAGGAGCCAGATCAGCAATTAGCCCTGAACTGCCAGAAAGTCTGGAGAGCAATTTCCAGCCAAGGCTGGACTAGCAGGGGGTGATAGAGGTCAGGAATGAGGGGCACGGGCAGTGGGCTGTGTGTAGCAGAGGGAGCTGGGGATGGACGTAGCTGTAGGCTAGGAAGGAGGGGCACCGGTTAGAGCCATGTGTAGGGTGAGCCTGGGGCTGGTGGTGGTTGGTTGGAAGCCAGGCCAGGAGCAAAGGCCAGTTTTTCATGTTGTCTCTTCAGTCCTGCCTTAAAAACTGTTGTGTGTAACTAATCACTGCAGCCTCTAGGCAGATGGGATGGGCAGTCCGGTGGGGTAGGAATGGGCACTGTTGCAAGCTGGGCTGTCAGCCTGTTGCTTCCCTATGCTGAATCCCAGGCAGCAAGGTGGAGTTTGGCCCCAGCTGCCCAGGTTCTCCCACAGGCCCCCTGTCCTGGGAGGCTTTTTGTGGTCTCCCTTGGTGTCCTGGCTGGGTGGGGGTCTCTCACAGAAGCAGTGTGTCTGTGTACATCCCCTGGCCTGGTCTCACGGCCCTTGATGGTCGCCTGTCTTCTGGGCACTGTGAGGCTGGTGAATCCCAGCTTGAGGTAGGCAGACCTGGTGCTAGGCTGTTGTGTGCAAACTGCGTGTGATGCCCCTCAAGGAGCAGTCTCTGGGGAAGGGATGCAGAGCCCCTTGGTGTATCCTCTGTCTAATCTGAGGCCAGCTTCCTTGCTCTTGCTTTCAGTGTCTCATCACTTGCTCAGGTGAAGGGGATCTTTTGCCCCTCGGAGGAATGAGTCTGCGGTGGCAGAGGTGGGCACATATCATTTCCTCACTTTGTTATTGCTCTAAATCAACAGCTCAGCCCCTCTTCCCCACTCCCTGCCAGCTGTGCATTGCGGTTTATGCAGCGTGTCAATGTATTGACAAACAGCTCATCTCTCACTCTTGTTCTCTGCTCTTCTCCAACAGCCTCTGCAGATTGACGACAATTTCTGTGGCCAGGATTTTAACCAGCCGCTGGGGGGGACGATCACCATTGAGGGGACGCCGCTCTTCGTGGATAAGGAGGATGGCATGACCTCAGTGGCGGCGTATGACTATCGTGGGCACACAGTGGTCTTTGCTGGCACACGGAGTGGGAGGATCAAAAAGGTAGGCAACCTTCTGGCCTGGTTGTGGGTGGGGAGGCCAGCTGGCTTTTTGATGACTTGGAGGCAAGATTTGGGGCCTGTGCTGTGCTCTGGGATGGGGATAGCGTGTCCTTGGTAGGAAATGGCAGTGTGGGTAAAGGGCCATATCCCTTTGCTCCTGTTGGCCATCCATATTTATTAAAGCATTTCTTTGTGGGAGGGTTATAACTTATGAAAGTGGCTGCCCTGGGGTATCCTTCCTTTGCCCAGTGAGAGTTGGAGTCATGTTGTTGGCCTGTGCTTGCTGTGTTCATCTATACCCTGTGAGCCTCGATTCTGGGATAGCTTTGCCGTTGCTCCGAGGGGTGCTGTGCTGTGTTTGCACAGATGAGTCCATGCCTGTGGCGCTTGATTGCTCTTTGCCATCTTGTCTGGTGGTGGCATGGGCTTGAATGGGTTGGCATTTCTTGGGTCAGATGAAACTCTTGTTGTCTTCTTTGGAGCTCTGATTCGGTGTCTGACTTCAATGCTGAATTTGGACCAAAGGACTTAAATAAGAGGAACTGGAGAAAGAAAGGCCCAAAATAACTCGAGGCAATTGCTGGTCTTTCACAATTCATCACCTTTGGACTAGGATGAAACTCGGAGCAGGAGTTTTCCCTTCACCCTCGCAGCTGTGGTGCTCCCATGCTCAGCTGAGACGTTTCTTTTTCAAGTCGTGTGTGGTGGTGTCCGCTTAGTGAGTGTCCATTGCTAAGGCAGTCCCTTTACTTTCCCTGCCTTCAGACTTCAGACTTGGGCTTCAGCCCACCTGTTACATGTTGCCCTTGTGTGGGGAGAGTGTGGAGGTAGATTCTGTTGCTCCATGCGTGGGACGTGAAGGATAAGCTCCCATGGCAGGGCAGCTCTCTGGGGGGCAGGGGGTGGGGGGGAAATGCATCATGTTCCTCTTTGTCTGCCCCAGGCCTTCTGCAGACAGCGTGGGGGAGCTCGCATCACCCGCTACACAAAGGCTGCTTGTCGGTGGCAATTTAGCAAATCACTGCGTGCCTCTCTGCATCTCCACAGGGCATGGATTTCCTGTTATCATAACATTGTTCCTATAATGACAGTTGGATGTATAAACACAGCCGGCACTAATGGCATCCCCAGCCAGGCCAAGCTGTATTTCAGGTCCTGGTACAATCCTGCTGGTGGCAGAAGGGACTGTTGGACTGTCCAGGCCTAGGGCTTGCTCCTTCCACAGGCTGGGGATGTGGCTGTTTGGCTCTGCCCAGTGCTTAGCCCAGGAATAGCCTGATCTGCACTCCTTGGGCCTTGCATGCATTGGCTGAGAGACCCTACTTTCCAAACGGACATGCTGTTGTGCAGCTGCCACCATGGCTCCTTGGGAATGTGATCACAGTGGGGTGCTGGGAGCACAGCACTCCCCAGCAGGGCTATTCATATTGCAGTGGAAAGCCTGGAGCCAGGAGTCTGGGTGAGACTCTGTGCTATTGTTTAGAGAGCCCTGTTAATTGGAGGATGACCTAAAAGGGGGCTTCCCCTGCCCAGCCCTGTGTCTAGCCAGGGTCGCCGACAGGATCTTTGCAGGCTAGGAAGGGTGTTGGATCAGAAGCAGATAAGGAAGACCAGGCTTTGATCTCCAGGGTTTTGCCATTCAAATAGCAGCCAGTTGCTCCTCTGTCCTCCCTACCCCACCATGGCTTCTGGTGGCGAGTCAGGATCACCCACTTGTACTTGTGGGGACACAGATGCCCCATTTCTGCCCAGTGAGTCAATGGTAGAGCTGGGAGCAGAGCTTTGGGGTATTCCCTTGCTGTAGTCCTTTCTCTGCTGCTGGGCAATAGGTTGAGCTTGCCCTGCGTGTGTCTCCCCTGTGTCCCCATGTCTGCAATGTGCTTTTTCACTCTAGTATGTATGGCTTGAGCCCCCTGGCCCTGGAGGTAGGAGGCTGCTTGCAAAGGTGCTGATTTCTGGTTCACTGGGTCAGGAATGCAGCGACTGGCCCCAGGCCAGCGCAAGACCGGACGAGAGTGTGGTTAAGTCATTACAGTGGTGTTGGACTGTGCGGGGCTGGCGCCGGCGGAGGGTAAATGCTATGTGTGTGAAGGGGGGACTTGGATGGAGCTGCTCACATGGCCCTTGGCTCCATTGCAGGGAGCTGAATGGCCTTACAGGCATCTGCTTCACATGGTGTCTTGAACACAGCCTGTGCTGAGCTCAGCAAGAGCAGCCCCTGCAACTCCCTGTCTTCTGCTGTCTGCCGAAGCCCAGCACCAGATCCAGCCCTCAGGGCTGTGATCCACTGTGGGTGGGTGGCAGGGTGGATGTTGGGGAAGAGGGGAGTGTGTTGGGAGAAGCTGGGGGAGGGTTGGTTGGTTGGTTATCTCCTCTCCCTGTCTGGTATCTGCTGTGTCTGGGAAGCATCAGGTGGCAGTGCCTTCCCCCAGCTGGAAGGCAGGACCAGGCAGCCTCTTGTGCCTTCGTTCCTGGGATCCCAGGCTCCCTTCCCCATCCTCACATGCTTGCTTCTCTCAGGTACAGACAAGGGAACAGCCTATGCTCCTGGTTTGGAGCCATGGTTTGCCGGCAGTGGAGGAGGAGGGGAAGAGAATGGGGCTCTGAGCCTACTAGGCTGAATTCAATGGGGACAGCAGCCTGGGCTCCACCTCAATTAATGTTTGCTTCCACCCAAGGAGAATGCAGCTCATGGTCTAGCTCTGTGGTTTTCCAGGCTTTTCTTGAGGAAGTATGAAAGAAAAGTCCCCACAGGCCTCTTTGCACTGGGTCAGCCTCTTAGAGAGAGAAACTGAGGCCACATAGGACCGGAGACATGCAGTGAGTCGGTGCTCAATCTGGGCATAGGATCCAGGAGTCAGTGCTGGCTGTTTCCTGCTCTAACTACTCTGCCTCACTCTGTGAAGATGCTCTGTGCTGTGAGACTTCCTTCCCCTCCATTTGCCCCTCCATCTCCCTTTCTCCTCAGGTTTCCATCCTCCCTGGCATTATCTCCCCCATCAGAGGAGTCAGCAGCCCCTGGTTTGGAGCAGCCGGTGAGAGCACAGTTTGTCTGCGCCAGGCTCCTGGGATACTGCCTGCGCGGGGGTTTGGGCCTCCTCCAGGAAGCCAGGGAGCTGACAGAGGCAACTTGTCCTCCCTTCCTGATCGATAAGGGCTCTGAAGTGACTGCTGTCGCCTTTCCAGCAGCCGCTCCTGCTCCAGCGTTCAGATTGCAGGTTTTAAGTAGGCCTGTGCCAGTGTACGTGGTGGGGAGGGCACGTGGGTGGAGGACGCATGAAGCCACTGAGACAGCACTACACACACCGGTATTTATTTATCCCTTGAACCTGATGGTTGCTTTTCAGCTGCCAAATTTCTTTCCCTCCTTTTCTGCCTCTTTATCTAACCCATCCCCTTCCCTTGCTCCCTGCCCTTCCCATGATCCTGTGATGGTAGCTAGAGAGGAGAGGGGCCTGGGCAGCAACCCAAGAGCATCTGGGTAATGAGAGGCACAAGGCTGGGCATGAGTTGTGCCTTGGGTTAGCCTGGAGATGATTGTCCTGGCAGCCTGCCTTGTGTTCATGTAGAGACTGCCCGTGTTTGAGTGTGCTGCACTATGTCCGTGGATGGTTTCCCATGGGGCCAGCATAAGGGAGCCCACCTGTGTCCAGAGGGTGGGATGGGCTCTGGTTTTCAAGGGCTTAAGAGAACAAGTTGAGTTAGTGAGAGGCAAAGTGATGTCTCAGTGCAGTTTGCAGGGGGCAAGTGTCCTCATCTTAGCCCCTTTGTGCCAGCTTCTTGAAGAGAACAAGGCCTGGGTTTCCCTTCTACCCTGCACAGTGGTGTGGGAAGTGTTTGTGCCTGGCTATCTAGGCTCCATTGTCATCAAGCTGGGTACCTGTCTGGGCTCTTCCAATAGGAAGAGCCCCCTGTCTTCCACTGGTCCCTGGCAGTAGGGAAGCATTTGCTCTGGCAGAGGGTTGGTCAACATGTGAAAGGGCCGAGACAGCAAAGTGGAAGAGGAAGAATCTGTATGTCCTTCTGAGGGGGCTGAGATCCATCCTTGCGATGGGCCCAGCTCTCTTAACTGGCATCATTTCTGCTGATGGCTGTTTGGCCACATGCCTGCTGCCACTTAACGTCGCTGCCATGAGAAATGGCAACTGTGCAGGAAGAGGCAGCCTCTTGCGGATCATCCCATGCAGGCCCTTGGATCATTATGGGTGGCCATTATTATATTCTTGCACTTTTTCTTGAAGGTGGGTTGTAATGACCATTGGCCCGTGGGGATCAGGGCTTCCTGTGCTGGAGCTGCACAGTCCTGTCCAGACAGGTTCACCTCTGACTTGGAGGAAGCCTTTAGTGGGGAGTCTGGGGCTGGGTGTTCACGAGGACTTGTGTATCTACGGCTAAGGGGTTGCTGCACTTTTGTGGGAGGGATATTGTTCCTTGAGAGAAGTTGTAATAGCAGAGGGCTCACAAAGAGGGCATGGGCCTGGCTGCTAGGCTGGCATGCTGCTCTGGCCAGGTACAGATGGATTAGTGCTGGGGGGTGTGTGTGTGTGTGTGTGGAGGGGGGGAGGGATGGCCTGTGTCCCCTGTGGTAACCTTGCAGCATCAGGGTGGTATGGAGAGCTCTGCTCCTTCTAGCAGGGCCTGTCTGGCTGGGCCTGGAGGGTGGGGAAAGTGCTGCCTCAGCAGTTACCTGATCTTCCTGGGGAGCCCTGTGCAACCAGACCCTGGCTCTGGCTGTCTCTGCTGCTGCGGCAAAAAGAGAATTGCTTCCCCTGCTTCTCTCCCTTCCTCCTGGATCTGGAGGCTCAAGGACTCTGCTCTCTGGGTGCTGGGGGCATGCTGTCCTCTGGAGCTGGAGGTGTGACAAAGGGATGCTGAGCTCAATGCAGGTGGGGAGGCAAGTTCTTGTGGCTCAGATGCAGTGAAGACCACAAGGTGGCACTGAGTGGCCCTTGCAACTGGGGTGCAGGTAGGTTTGGGAGCTTGGTAGTAGCCCCCCCCCCC